CTTAGAGTAAAAAATTTTAATTGAAAATGCAGTTAATCGAAAAATTCAAAAAACTAAATATAGATTACTTTTCCAGATGCCATTTCACGAAATTTAATACGGCCGAATTAAAATATATATTGATTCAATTCATTCGAGACGCTTCACACGAATGAAAGATAACATTAAGCTAGCAACGATTATTCTATCTTACAGATTGTATGTAACTCTCATGTTCGTTTTCATAATTCGTCTTCGTTATTACATTATATGGATTAGAGTCAAATGGATTATGGTGGCACTTTGGGTCCTTGACTCCGTACTGCATTTTAGACATCTATTATTCAACTAGGACTAGGCGCATGATCGGTTATCCGCTCGCGTCTGCTTTATATTTTTCATTTGGTGACATTCATGTTGGATTGTGCTACCTGATGCGGTCCGCACCCCCCGCACCCGCGTGGTGATGTTGTTGACCTAAATTTATATTAAATCACTAATTATAAAAACATTATTGTTGATGTTGCCTTGCCTTTCAAAAATTCATGAAGAAATCCGTGCTTTTTATCGAAGAGATCACTACGCTTACTTATTTGGCGGCTTGTGCTATAAGCATACAAAAACGCTTGTTTTGCTATTGAAATTGAGCGACTGAGCAGTCAAATTGCTCTAAATTATAGAAATATTATGGCTTATATTTTCATGCGTTAGCTTTTTTGTTAATTGATAAAGCAGTACATCCGCACCTCTAACTAAGTCTTGTATTTAGAAATAAAGAATGACATGGAAAATATAATAGTAACAAATTATGGGTGGTGTCATCATTCAGCCATGTTTCATATTATGCAAAGATTCTAAAAGTATTAACATGCAATTGAAAGTTGTTAATTGATAAACATAGTTGATCGGCATGCAAGCAAACTCAGTAGCGGATCTTGAGGGGACAAACTTCAAATATTTATATGCAATGAAAATAAATGGTACTTATTGCTAGCTATAATGTTTTAATAAATTAACATATTCAAAATAATCAATGTATTGAATGCTATTACACACACAATAATTATAATCCATAATAGCAACAATTTCATCAACATTATTCAACACACAAAATGTATCATTGTCCTCATCAATTGTCACAGGTTCATCCTCATCAGCATCAATCATAACCTACCTAAAAATCCACAGTCGTTAGCGTTGTCGTTAGGGAAATATTCCAAATTACTACTTTACCGCAATGAGGTTTCTTTCCATTTTTTCCAACCGGAAATTTCACAAATTTCCACCATCGTTGTGGACCTCTACAACTAGCAAAAACGAATAAATAACCATTTGCTGTTTCCTGCTGACTGACAAAATTCAAACGTTTTGGAGCCACTTCACTCTTGATTCTCTTTAGCTTCATCCTGATTTTACAAACAACTGGACTATGGTCACTGCCACAATCAGCTTCAGAATAACTTTTGCATTGTATAACTGCATTTCGAAATCGTTTATTTATTGTTTTCTTCCAGGTATATTTACGCCTTGGGTGATTGTCAATAATTTGATCATTTGCGACACAACATTCAATCAACTTTTTTCCTCTTTCATTTCTTTCACCTATCCCGTGAAGACCAACCACGTCATGTATTTTTTCTGAGCCAATTTTGCTTCCAGGTCATCCATCATAATAAAAACATTTTGTGATTCACATGTTTTTTTTAAAGCATTATCAAGATTAGAGTAAAAAGCATCAAGGTCTTTTTCACTGCTTTCAAACATTGGCGCATAAACTTAAAAAACAGCTAGTTTGAAAGGTTTTGCGTAAATTTTAACCAACAAAACTCTATCTGACACCGCCCAGAAACCTTCTAAATGTTTTGACATTTTTTTGTTCAAAAGTACATCTACTCCACATTTGAGTGAATCACCTGCAAATAGATAAATTTTCCTCCTTCAAAAGTAAAGACATCTGATTTCTTCCATAGATTTTTGCTCAAACCTAAAATGTTGAGATTCATTCTTTTCATTTCTTGTTTTACCTTCTCAAATTTTCCAGTCTGGTACAACGTTCTAACGTTCCATTTTGCATGACCAAACCACCGCAGACGGTGTTGCCAACATTCGTCCTTTATATCATCTAAGCCAGTATGACGCAGGATTTTGGTAGATTTGATGTGGTCCTTCAGACTAATTTGTTGCATCTATCGGAGCATTTTCATGTCAGTTTGTTGAAGTTGTTGTTCCAGTTTGGTTGTCATTGGCCATGTTTCTGCACCATACAACAAGACCGGACGTATCACAGGTTTATAGTCTTGATCGTAGTGGTAGTGGGATGTCACGTCGCATCAATATAGAGGCAAGGAGATGCCATTTATTCCAGGCTCCACGTATGCGTGCTCGAACGGCAGCTTCAGCTGTTCCAATACAATCCAGAACATCCCCTAGATATTGAAACGATGTGACTTTCTCTACCTTAATGGCTTGGAAAACATTGCTATTTCGAATTTGTTGTTGTGAATTGATGCAAGCAGGACAAACAAAATTGGACACTTTAGATAAAGTACCAATTATTTTTGAACAACATTTGTGACATCACTGGTTACACTGCTGACACTTGATTGAATTGTTCTCTACACCAGCTTTACAAACTGAACAGGGCCATCGTCCAGTAGCTGTGGATTGGATGGGTTCACCAGTGTTCATTGCTTTGGTTTTGCTGATGTTGACTTTGAACTTTTTTTAATCCAAAAATAATAAATACATGAAAATCAAAAAAATAGTTATATAATAAAATAAACCAAAATAATTAAATTATAAAATGAACAGAATTGAACATACATGAATATTTAAGCAAATATAATAATGGAAGATTAAAAATAAATAATTAAAAACTAATTTAATGCAATATACATACAATTTACACCATGAAATACTTTTTAATAACTTCATAATATCTAACATTTAGATCTTTTTTTATTGACAAAACTGCCCAAAGGGCCATAATTACCACTTATCTTGACAGAAATAATAAAAATAACCAAGTTCTATAAAATGTACGTCAAAACAGAAAAAAAAGTAAATTAGAAAAATCATAGTTGACATTGATAACACATCCTCGTGAAATAGTACAATAAAAAAACAAATATTATACATACACACATATACATAATAGTACATACATATATATGTTATAACAAGTATATATATACACAAACAAATATATACATATATAGTCTTTCACCAGCATATTTATTTATTCATTGTTTATTTACTGACAAAACTGCCCAGAGGGCCATAATAACCACTTATCTAGACAGAAATAATAAAAATAACGAAGTTCTATAAAATGTCCGTCGAAACAGAAAAAAAGTAAATTAGAAAAATCATAGTTGACATTGATAACACATCCTCGTGAAATAGTACAGTAAAAAAATAAATATTATCCGGGAAAAAAAGGAAAACATAATATTGATAGTTATTTAATAGTTAGAAATTTATTTAAATCGAGAGAACGCAACCGATTTTTAAAGAAAGCATATGATGTTGAAGAAACGACATCTGCCGGCAACGTATTCCATATTCGAATGATTCGGTTGCAGTAGAAATATTTGGTTGAGTTGTCACTTATGTTGAAATCACGCAATCTGCTTTGATGTCCCCAAGTTGATAAGTACAGTGATGGAATGAAATGACTATTTAGGTCAGTTTGAACGAGGTTATGAAGTATTTTGTAGAGAAGGCATAGATCAGAAATCAGCCTACGACGCTCCAGAGTATCCATTCCAACCGCATGCAATCGAGACAGGTATGAGAGATGATGTAGAGACGGAATAGATTTCGTAAATCTTTTCTGTACACTTGTCTATTTGGTATTTGTAATGTGGATTCCACACAGATGAGGCATATTAAAGGTTCTAATATTAAACAGAATAAAATAAGATACAATGAATTGTAATAATAGGTCTATATTAAAAGAACAGTTAACGAACATACAAAAGTCAAATTAAATACGAATATTTTTAAAATGAAAGATTGTTAAATTAGCAATACGGTACACTACAGTACATATAAATTAATATAAATAAAGAAATAAATATTAAAAAAATATACGGTTATTTATAGAGCAAGGTATGAGAAGTTAATTTAAATTTGTAATAAAGTTAATTTATATAAAAGACATAAATAAACTTCTTCAGAATGGTCTAAATTACAAAATTTAACAATTTTAAATCAACACCTCCATACTTAGATTCTATGTCAATGGCACGCGAACAATTGAACTGATACTCCATAGATGGTCGCTAAGCAACTATCGCCATGCATCATACTTTTCTTATATTTCAAAGTGGTAGACGAAAATTGGTTGTGGGCGATTGGGTAACGACGGTCGACGTCCCGCTCAGTGGTGGATTCAATTGAAATTTATTTTTGCTGTACTTCATCAGCACAAATAAATCATAGGAAATTCCTACTTTTTCGATTTAATGTTAATCCATCGTTTCACTGGTCACTACTAAACTACTGAAGTTTTTTTGTATGATGAACCCAGTCCATAATTTAAATTTCTAAATTATTTGCAAACTGCATAACACCGTTTTTAAAAGGTATAAAACAATTCAAACTAAATCAAAAGCAAAAAATTTGAAAAATAGTCACAGTTTTTAATTTTTATTATAAATTAATAAACACAAGAGTTGCTGTTCAGGAATGAATTGGTGTGAAAGGGTCAGATTTTTCGTAGGTAGTTTTCTTAGATCGCTTTATGGAAATTATAATCAGCACAGTGCAGAAAACAGTCACAATCTGAATAAAAACGCATAATAATTTTAATTAACAAAAATAATATTAAAACATTGAATATTCTTTTTCTGTAACATCTTATTTTCATATTATAAGAATGTGTTCCTAATTCAACGACGTTTTGTATTTTATTACTTTAATTCAATAAATAAACTAATTATAAAATAAATAAGTTACATTTTGACAAACTGAATTAGATTGTTGCAAAACATTTTACTAATTAAGCTCAGCATGACATCAAAGATAATTTTAAACCTCTCATATTAATATAAATTGATATAGCCTTGTCACATTGAAACAATTTTCAAGATATTCAGATGCAAAATGATACTAATTTACCTCGATGATGCCAAGGATAAATCCCATCACAATAATCCCTCTAGAAACGCGATTCAAAACTGTCAAACCAAATGTGTAGCAGCCCTACAAATATATACAAAAGATATATTTCAATATAACCAATAACGCTTTGGAAATTTTAAATGTAACATTATCTTACTGATAAGACTCGTCGAAATTTTTGAAAAAATGTAGGCAAAAAATGTTAAAAATGTCGCAGAACATCATAAAATTTACATGCTCCAACTGTCAGGTACTTCATAAACATCATAAATTCTAAAATTTTGACTATATTGTTAAATAAACAAGAAACAAAATTTGTTTCAAAATTTATTATACCGAATAAAAGAGAGCTTCATTGAATTGTCCGCTAACTAATTTTGGCGGGCCAGCTTGCCAAATTTGACATTTTTGTTGATTAATTACCTGTCCGTACTGGTCTGTAACACAACAAGATGGTGGGACTAAGGGTCTATCATATTCTACAAAAGATAAAATAATGTTTGTAACTTGCTACCTTAATAATTATATCATATTAACATTCAAGCCCAAATTGCGTTGTGGTTTCATGAATGCCTAATCAAATAATTGTTGTAAAGTCTTTAAAGTTTTTAAAGCGTCAAGAGTTTAAACTTGAGTCATTCCTGTGCACAACACACGGCGTTTGAAGTCTCGTATCGTGCTATTCCTGTCCGATAGATTTATGGTTCATAAGTTGGCATTTAAATTAAGCTACTATCTACGATGTCAATATAATATATTGACATCGTAGATAGTAGCTTAGTTTAGTAGGTTTATTTTTGTTTGCACAGTTAATATTTGTAAAACAACAAATTACATGGACTGCTCAATGGTTAGGCATGGTCTTACGTAACAGACACCTGATTCGTGTGTTTGTCATACAAAAGTATCGCACATATGAATAAGCGCATGTTCGTAAAATGTAACAGCGCCGTTACATAATATAAAATGACGTTATATACAATCACAGTAAACGATTGATTGACTGACTGACTGATTGATTGATTACCAATAAACATCTAGTTCAATAGAATTTAAAACTTACCTTTGGTTCCAGGCTGCCTGTCATACCAAGCAGAACTTCTATAAACACCCCAGCTGTTATCTTCAACTCCACAACAGTACCACTGTATGATCATTGTTAAAGAAGTGTGAATGTCATTCAAAAATATGAACATGAAGCTACTTATTTTGCTAATTTAAAAATTTTTAGGGATTTAGGAATGCTTAGTCAATTCATTAATTTATATGTGGAAATTTTTGGAAAAGTATGACAAAATAAAGCCTCTACACTTTCGACTAATTGGATTTTCGCAAGTTATTATATGGCGCATTATATGACGTAGTTAGCTTGTTCTCACAGAACTAAAATGTTGGATGCTCAGATGAACAGTTTTAAATAAACTGTGTCTTATCATCAGTCTATTCACTTTAGTTGTTACTGTGTCTTATCATCAGTCTATTCACTTTAGTTGTTATTAATCGTGTGTTGAAATATCTGGTTTTTTTTTATCACTGAATGGAAGTATTTGTCTTGTGTTTTAATAACATTTTATTTAAATTGCCACAGTTTATTAACAAACTAATTGATTATTGTTTTAACATCTGAAAACAGCAGTGTAATGTCCACCAAGGGTTTTTGATGCGCTGTTAGAGGGAAGTAATTTCCGAAAATACCTGTATGACCAGGTAGGTATGATAATGTGAATTTTGATTTTTATTGAGTTTACTAAAATATTTATACCCTTATACCGCCTTAGTGATTGTGCACATGAGAAAGAATATGTTATTATAAATATTTGGTCAGTAATATTTATACTTGATACTATGATGTTTTTAATATTACAGTGAAAAAAATTCATAAACAACTGATTGACCAATGTGCCGTTTGATATTTGATAATGGGTTAAAAACAGTGCTTTCTAAAATGCTATTCAGTTAGTAATTTTAACAAGATTTTCAATGCCAATACGAATTGGTTTAATTTTTCTGCGTAAATACACACAAACACGCACCAAACACACACACACATATATTTTTTTATATTTAATTTGTATATATATAACACACACACACACACACACACACACACATATATATATATATATATATATATATATATATATATATATAATATTTTGCATAAATATATATAACAAGCAACATTCAAAACACATTTCTTATTAAATAACCTTTTGTTGAGCAACATCCCAAATGTAAGTTTCTAATGTATTTCTTGTATTATTGCCAACATCAACCCCATACCTTTGATTTAGGCTTTCTCTCATCGAATCTCTTATCCAGTCAGTGTACTAAAAAATAAAATATCTATAAAGTCAAAATTTGAGTTTAAAATAAAAAATCAGCAAGATGTTTACTATTGAAGATATTAAACAAAATTATTATTTTCAAAGACTTACATTAACAATATTGATGATTGCAAACACAGCACCAATCAGAGCTGTTAAACCGATAAGAACAATAACAACTGCGTACTATTAAAAATATGTTAAATATTAAATATTCTTAAAATAAATTTATAACTAATAAAAAAATTCTAACTATTGAAAGAACCCATATATTGTTTTTGACAACGCCAATTAAACCCAAGCTAGTTATGCATATACTGGCAACACTACTTGCAATTAGGAGGATGCATGCAGGTTGAGCTAGTTTTAAAAACATGACTCCGGTTAAAAGATCTCCTTTGTCCACTAGCAAAAAAAGACTTGCTCCTAAAAATGTCAAGCCAGCTATCTGAAAATTTGAAAAGCAGTTTAATAAAAATAAAACAAAACTAATAATAATAATAATAATAATAAAAGATAGGGCAATGAACTTTAAAGTTTAAAATTTTAAATGCAAATGCTAAATGGCAATAAAAATTAACAAATAATGTGAGACTCACTAATCCTAATAAATTCAAGATAATTAAAATTGGATGACTCCATTGAAATAAGTTATTGTAAATCGTTGGCATTTTTTACTTTTTTACAAAATCTATATAGATCTAGAATGGTTTATTTTTTTCTTTATTTATTATTATTATTAACATAAGCAGTTGTGTGCGTTTGTAGGTAAACTCTAATCTAGTCTGATCAGTAGAGAGCAGAGATCAAAATTATTACAATTAAATAAATTATTAATATTATATTAAATTATTTTAAATAGACAGAGAGACAAAAATACTTATTTTTTTTTAACAATTGACAACGTTGCCAATTGACAAAAAATTAAACTTTAAATTAATTAAATTCAAGCGAATTAATGTTGAAGTCTAAATTTAAATGATATTATAAATGCAAACATTCAATATCTAAATAAAGAAACTTTGATGTTGAAACATCGTAAACTACGCGAGCGTCCAACTTGGAGCTGTTTACATCACACCTTCAAGCACTCGTACAGGTAGCACGCATTGACAATCAACAGAATTGAAGACATTTTTCAAAAGTATTTTTGTAATTTTAATGTAGGTTTAAATGTGCATCTGATTTTCAAGAATTTAATATAATTTTACAGCTTTTATAATTTTTTAGTTTTGTTATTGGTACAAGTGTGAAATATTTAATGTAAAATATTAATGTGTTCAAGTATACTAAAATATGTGGGACATTCAATCAATCAATCAATCAATTAAGCAAGCGATGTTCAACAGCAATGTTCAACAGCACTCCTCAATAAATTTTGAAAACAGATGGGTCCTGAGCAGTGGTGTCACTAGGGGGTGCGGACCTCACCGGGTGACACCCTCACAAGGGGTGACACCAAAATATCACTGTATATGTTTTTATGTCCCTCCATGAAATTATTCTTATCATTGATTCAGCCTAACCCGCCCAGCGCCCAGAAATGTATTATGAATAAAATTTTTTTTTGTTCAAATCATTTTTGTATTCGACGTTTATACCATTCGAATTCGACGTCCGAATTATTAAGCGCCGCGGCCGAGGACATTTAACTTGTTCGTGTCTAACATAACGTACAACAGTGTTTGTTTTGCCCACCCACTACAAGCGTGTTTTAGTCAAGTTTAAGAGAATAATCTATAATTTACTTAAAGTTAAAAATTATTTAATTTTTAATCAATTTAATGATATACGACAACAATTCAAAGTAATTTCACAAAAGTTGATCCCTGATCCGTAAGTACAAATATAATTTGTTTATTAGCATTTAAATAATTTTAAAATTTTCACATTTAACCAACCAAATTTCTAATAATTTCATTTTATTTATTTATATTTATATATTTATTGTTGAAGGATATTATATCATGCCACGTAGAGGTGGAGTTCATACAACAAAAAGGCTAAGCGGATGTCAACAAAGAAAAGCCAAAATAAAGAAAGATAAAATACTATCTACATTGCGCGGATCTATGCTGCAATATGTAAAGGGATCAGATGAGGCCCAGAGTCCTTCCAAAGACACAGTTCCTCAACCACAAATTGATGAGACTAATTTATCTGATGCTGGTATGCATTCAGCAGAGGAAAACATTAATATAATAGAAGAAAATAGAGCAGAACAAGATAAAGAAATAGATGAATTTGTAGCAGAAGAGTGGACTGATAATAGTGACTCTAAATATGATACTGAAAATGAACTTACGGAGAAAAATTGGAATGTTTTGGATGATGCTTCTTATTGGAATATACCAATTCCAGATCAATTGCGTGTTCAAATCATCAAAAGAGGAAGTGCATATATCCAGAACAAAGATGGGTCTTTCAGGATGTTGACGAGGCAAGATCTAAAAGCTAAAGGTGAGGTTCGCCAGCTATCCAAAGAGTGGTTTTATATGGTGATGCCAAATGGTGAGAAGGTGTTGCGAACATGGATAGTTTATTCTCCCGTCAGTGAGAAATTATATTGTTTTTGCTGCCGACTTTTTGCCGTTAATGCTACAGGCACAACATCCAAATTTGTGACTGGATTTCAGACATGGTGGAAAATGAGCCCGAAAGTGTCTAATCATGAGACATCCGATGCTCACTTGCATTGCTTTGAAAAATGGAAAACCTTGGAGGTGAGACTTAGAATGCACAAAACAATTGATGCAGAAAATATTGCTTTGATAGACATAGAGAAGAAAAAGTGGAGAAACGTCTTGCATAGGCTGCTCGATATTTTATTATTTCTCGGCTAGCAAAATCTGGCTTTTCGGGGCCACAATGAAGAAGAATCTTCATTAAATAAAGGAAACTTTTTTGAAATGGTTGAGATGCTTTCTAAATATGACTCAGTGCTAAAAGAGCACCTATTAACATTGAAGCAAAGCACATATAAAACTAAAGCATCAGCATCTTATCTTACACCAAATACTCAGAATGAGTTTAGCAAATCATGTGAAGGAGAAGCTTATCATGGATATAAAATCTGCCCGGTGATTTGGTATCATGTTTGATAGCACACCTGACGCATCACACTGACCAAATATCTGAAATTATCAGATATGTGAAAGTTCATAATAGAAAAGTTGAAGTAAGAGAAGTGTTTCTGGGATTTTTTCCTTTAAAAGGGAAAAAAGCTGCTGATCTCAGTTCTGATATTCTCGAAAATTTGGAAAGTGATGGACTCGACTTTATGATGTGCCGCGCTCAAGGTTACGACATTGCTGCGACTATGTCTGGAATCCATGGGGGTGTACAAGCCATTTTGAAAAGAAAGAACAGGAAAGCTATTTTTAATGGTTGTGTGGACCATTCTTTTAACTTGTGTGGTCAACACTCTTTTGCTGAAAATGCTTTGTGCGTGACTTTTTTTGGAACTCTTGAGACAATGTTTTCATTCTTTGCTACTTCCACTCACCAATGGGATGTTATAATGAACCACACTGGAGTTTCATTAAAAAGATTATCAACAACACGCTGGAGTTCTCATCACGCAGCAGTAAAGGCAGTGAAAGAAAAATTCGATGAATGTGTGGCGGCAATAGAAGGTCTATGTGATCCAGGGAAAAATCTAGACACAAGAGGTACAGCCCGAGGTCTTTTACCTGCTATCAGCAATTTCACTTTTCTATGCTACCTCTTCTTTTGGTGTGATGTACTTAAAGAAGTAAATCTAACGCAGCTGTACCTTCAGACTAAGGGCTTAAGTTTTGACAAGGTGGTGACAAAGCTAGAGACACTAAGACTTTTTATGTATGAGAAGACCAATATGGAATTTCAGTAGAGAGCAGACCTAGGTTCAAGAAGAGGATGGCAGGCGAGCGCGAGAGAGATGCTGGACTTACTCTGCAGAAAGAAAACACGAGAGCGATGTATGAGTGTATTGATCGTTTCCATTCTGAACTCCAGATCAGATCAAGAGCTATCAAGGAAGTAACAGCCATGTTTGAGATTGTTCAAGCCAAGAGTTTGATATCTGCTACTGAAGAAGAGTTATTGGTAAACATTCCAAAATTGACCACATTCTATGATGAGTTATCAGATATAGAGCTTTTATTAAAAATACCAAGACTGAGAAGACTTCTGAAGACATTAGATTGATCTTGAAGAAGCCAAAGACTGGTCAGTACTTGACATTTTGAAATTCATAGTTGAATGAGACTTCCTAGAATCTCTCCCATATCTCTCAGTG